CTGCAGGAGGGAGAAGAAGATGATGGGGCAGGGTGGATGCTGCGCCGTCAGGAGGAGGACATAGGAGGAAGGAGAAACGCTATTGGTGATATTTTCTTTTTATCTTATTCTTTTTTTTCTTTTTTTTTCTTTTTTTTTTGGGGGGGGGGGTCTTTTTCTTGTGTTCTTTTCATGTCTTTTTTTCTTCTTCTTCTTTATTTGTGATTGGAAATAAAAGATAAGATGGATGAATGTAGGAAGAGATGAGTACTTAGATGACTCAGTCTGAATGTCTGCTACAAAATATGGTGAGACTCAGTAATCAGGGTAGAGAGAGATGCGTAATATAATGATAGATAGCGCGATGTACTAATAACCATATGTATATTTGTTCATGTGTATATATATGTACATGTCGACAACGTAGGAGTCGTAAGTGAAGTCGTCGCCGTTGGCCAAGATGTAGCTGGACTGCGGTTTATAAGGAAGGACGATCCTGTGCTGTGGAACAAATACAGACGCACATACACACACACACACACACACACACACACACACATACATATATATATGTGTATGTGTATGTGTGTGCTTATTTATTTACACATATGTATGTATGTATCTATGTATGTATGTATGTGTGCATGTGTATATATATAGATAGATAGATAGACGGATAGATAGATAGATAGACAGATAGATAGATAGATAGATAGATATAAATATAGATATATGTATTTATGTATATGTCCCTCTCTTCTTCCCACCCTTCCTTATCTTTCCCCTGTTTCTCTACATCTTTCCCTCTCTTCCTTGATACATATCCCTCCCTCCCCCTCCTCCCTCCTCTCTCTGTATCGCTAATCTCCCTCATACCTCCCTCCCCCTACCCCCCTCATTCAACCTGTCTCCTTATCTCTAATCCCCCCCATACCTCTCCCCCCCCACTCCCTCCCTCTCCCCTGTCTCGATTTTCCCTTCTCTCCCTCCTTCCTTCTCTCTCCCCCTCCCTCCCTCCCCCTCCCTCCTCTCCCCTCCTTCTCTCTCTCTCTCTCCTTCCTCCCCCCCTCCCTCCCCCTTCTCTCTCTCTCTCTCTCTCTCTCTCTCTCTCTCTCTCTCTCTCTCTCTCTCTCTCTCTCTCTCTCTCTCCTTCCCCCCCCCCACTCTCTCTCTCTCTCTATCTCCTTCCTCCCCCCTCTCTCTCTCTTTCTCTTTCTCCCTCTCTCTCTCTCCTTCCTCCAGCCCCTCCTCTCCCCTCCTTCTCTCTCTCTCTCTCCTTCCTCCCCCCCTCCCCTCCCCCCTTCTCTCTCTCTCTCTCTCTCTCTCTCTCTCTCTCTCTCTCTCTCTCTCTCTCTCTCTCTCTCTCTCTCTCCTTCCCCCCCCCCCACTCTCTCTCTCTCTCTATCTCCTTCCTCCCCCCTCTCTCTCTCTTTCTCTTTCTCCCTCTCTCTCTCTCCTTCCTCCAGCCCCTCCTCCCCCTCCCTCCTCTCCCCTCCTTCTCTCTCTCTCTCTCTCTATCTCTCTCTCTCTCTCTCTCTCTCTCTCTCTCTCTCTCTCTCTCTCTCTCTCTCTCTCTCTGTCTCTCTCTCTCTCTCCCTTGTCTCGATTTTCCCTTCTCTCCCTCCCTCCTTCTCTCTCCCCCTCCCTCCTCTCCCCTCCCTCCCTCTCCCTATCTCCCCCGCACACTCGCACAGATGTTCATAATCCCTGGCTACCATTTCCAAGTTCTTTATCTGAAAAAGAGGAATTAAGGGTGGGAATGGCGCGGGGGGGGGGGGGGGGGAAAGAGATGGAGGAGAGGTATGAGGGAGAGAGGAAGGAAGGGAAGGAGGGAAGAGGGGGAGGAGAGGGAGGGAGTAGAGATGTGAGGGAGGGAGGGAGGATGGGAAGGAGGGAAGAGGGAGGGAAGGAGGAAAGAGATGGAGGAGAGGTATGAGGGAGGGAAGGAGGATGGGAAAGAGGGAAGAGAGGGAAGAGAGGGAGTAGAGATGTGAGGGAGGGAGGAAGGAAGGGAAGGAGGGAAGAGAGGGAGGAGAGATGTGAGGGAAGGAGGGAAGGGGGAGAAAGGGATAGAGTATCAGGGAGGGAGGGATAGGTAGAGTGCCAAGGAAGGGAAATAGAGGAAGGGGATGATGACGAAAAAGAAAGGGAGGAAGAAGAGAGGGATAGGAGAGGAGGAAGAGAAGGGGGAAGGGACGGAGGACAGAACAGGCTAGAAGGAAGAATGAGAAGGGGAGAAGGAGGAGAAGAGGAGAGGAGAGGGAATATGACAAACGAAGGAGAAAATGAAGAGAAAATTGGGGAAAAGAGGGAATGAAAGGAGAGGAAGAAGGACAGGAAGGAATGGGAGAATGTAGAGGAAGAAGAATACGTAATAGAAAAGGAAAAGGGATGAGAATAAAAAGGAGGAGGAAGAAGAGGAAGAAACAAAGGAGGAAAGGAACACGGAAATGATGAAGAATGAAAGAAGAAAAAAGTAGACGAAGCAAGGAGATGGAGAAAAGAGAAACTTATAAGAAGA